CCCCCCCCCCCCCCACCCCCCCCCCCCGCTCCCGCTTCCTTCGATACAACACCGCAATGACTCGCCTCTCAATTGTCGCCGTCCTCATCTCTCAGATGCATACCACGGACTCCCCCGAAGACCCCCGGAGGCGTCTCGTCACCACCCTCGTACACGCCGGTCCCTCGGTGATGGTCACGTCCATCGCCGTGGCCGGCTGCTTCCTGGTCGCCTCCGCGGTGAACATCCTCACCGTGCGGTATTTCGCCCTCCACATGGGCTTTCAGATGCTGTTCCACCTCGTCCTCCTGCACCTCATGCTGCTGCCCTTGATGTGAGAAGGGCGTAGAGACTGCTGCCGCCGCTTAATTGCCGCTGGCGTGTGGTACGCTTGTTGTGTGTTGCCAGCGCGGCGCGATGACGGGAGGCCGTCGTCGTAGTGTAGTGTTGTAGTTTCTTGTCTGTCCCCTGGGTACGCACTAGCCTGCCTGCCTTGCGTGTCGTTGCTTGTCTCTGAAATCGCCAATATATATTTTTTTTGGTTTGCTGTGAGCGGATATGTACTGTAGGGGCTGTCGGCGCAGTGACTGCTCTCCGCGCTTTTTGTAGTCCCTCGTGGCACTTCTCCCAAGGTTCTGGTTAATATGTATCCTTGAAGACGACGCGACGACCTTTGCCGTTTCGTCGGTTCCGCTGTCCGGGCGCAGCAGCTGCTTGATTCGCTGCTCGTGTTGCCTGACTTTCTCCCGAATTAACGTCCTTGCGCATAGTGACCGAGACGTGCGTCTTCCGCCTTTTGGTGGCCTTCCGCAGTCTCCATCTACATTTTGGTCATCTTGCTCCGATTCCTGTTGTGCCGATTTTTCCTTCTTGCCGTTCGTTGGGCCGTCGCTCGTTTTGTTCTCATTTTCCTCTCTTTGGGCGACACGCCTGCTTGTTTTGCGTGTGCGTCTGGTGCTGCATCAGGTACTGGGACTCCGTCAGGGTGGCGGCCACGAGGTCGGACGTGTTCTTGATCAAGCTAAGCCCGGAAGGCATCCTGCCCGAGGCCGAGTTCGCCTGCACCACCAACACCCAGCGGGTATGTTGTTTGTACCGTTTGTGTTTTGTGTTTTTGTTTTCGCATAGTACATGAAATGTTCCGAACTGACTGACGCCTTCGCGAATTGGGTTTCAACCATGATAGTTCGATGCATTTGTGCGGGCGTGATGGTAACGGTATAGCTCCCACTACCCCTCTCCTGAACGCACGATGGCCTTGCTCCATCTATTCGGCGGAACCCCCTTCTTGCCACTCCCCCCGGGTTTGCATCTCTCTTGTCCGTGCCCGCGACTATTTTCGGCTACACACACATATCGACCTGGTCGCTGGCACCGCTATTGCAAATAGTTTGTGGAGAAGTTCTATGCGCCGCTGGTGCGCAACAAGATCTTCAAGACCATCGTCATCGTCATCGCCATGGCCATGACGGCCGGTCTCGCCTGGTGAGTTTTAGACTGCTTTGATTTGAATAGTTCATTGCTCGCCGGTGTATATATCGTCGGCCGTCTTGTGGGGGGGGGTGTACTCATAGTTGTGCATGCCGTAGTCGTTAGACCATTGACCTCGCATCCCTACAAAGCCGGGACGGAGCACGCCGGGTTCTCACCGGACCAGGCTCTCACATCACCAAGCGCGAAGCGCCGTGAGATATTCGGCGAGTCGCATGAAGGGTGCGCTGCATCCTGCTAAGGGTATGCGGCATCTTGTGCTTGCTTCCTTGCACACGGATGACAGCTGT